AATGTCAGGATATATATATATATATATATATATATATATATATATAGATAGATAGATAGATAGATAGATAGATAGATAGATAGATATGATATGTATGTATGTATGTATGCATATATATGAGAAGGACGACTCCAAATTCAAAACCTGCGGAGGGTAGTTTGGAAACTTTGGCACGTAGTGCACCAGGTCTTAGTATTCGGCTCTTCCAAAAAGTGTGGTTGGTTCTGCACAATGACTTACCACTTTAATCAAATCATCTGTGCAGGTGTCTGGCTATCATTTCCTAGGAACTGAGTTGCTTGACCTTCATACGTCAAAAACATAGGAGAGATCAGCATATATATATATATATATATATATATATATATATATATATATATATATATATATATATATATATATGATAAAGATGTAGTTGTAAGGTATGATATAGATGTAGATAAAAATGCTCAATATAAGAGACACAGCGAGCGAATGTAAATATAAAAGTGGAAAATGAGGTGAACACCGAGAGGCGACAATCTGTTTCATGCTTCAGCGCAATCTTCATGGCCTGATGATTACATTGAAACATCAAACAGATGATCGTCTCTCGGTGTTGACCTCAGTGTATGCTTATATATATATATATATATATATATATATATATATATATATATATAGATAGATAGATAGATAGATAATTTACATTTAATCAAACGAGGCATTTCAACAGAAAAAAAAACTTTTTTTGCATTGAAAAGCCTCAGTAACAATTTTTCCTTAGGAGGTGAAATAACCATTCATCTGGGATATTGAGTTTCATTAAATATAAATTATACGTATATATATATATATATATATATATATATATATATATATATATATATATATATATATATATGAAAATATATTGAGCTATCTTTGTGGATCAGTTTTAATATTTTTATTATTAGGATTCACTTGGATTATTTACCCACGGATTTTTTTTTTGCGGCCACAATCTTAAGAACATAAGACCAGTATTGGTGACAACAATCTTAAGAACATAAGATCAGTATTGGCGGCTACACTCTTAACAACATAAGATCAGTGTTGGTGACTACAATCTTAACAACATAAGATCAGTATTCGTGGCAACAATCTTAACAACATAAGATCAGTATTGGTGGCAACAATCTTAACAACATAAGATCAGTATTAGTGGCAACAATCTTAACAACATAAGATCAGTATTGGCGGCCACAATCTTAACAATATATGATACGCAGATAACAAAGTACTAATAGCAAACATAGAAAAGAAATTATAAAATATCCTACAGAAGGTAGCGACAGAGAGTGAGAAGAAAGGTCCAAGCATAAACTACAGAAAGACAGAATGCATGGTCATCAGTTAGAGGATGAGAACAAAATGCGATTTGCAGGTCGGGGAAACTAAAATGAAGCAGGTGCGGAAGTTTAAATATATGGAAAGTAATTTAATGGTGGACGGTAAGTGCGACGCTGAGATCCGAAGACGCATTGGGATGGCGAAGGACGCATTCCAAAAGCTGGACAGATTATTATGAGACAGGTGGATTTCTATGGTAACAAAGAAATGAGTACTGATATCTGTCGAGGTAACGGAAGTATGGTTCTACAGAAGGATACTAATGATAACAAGGACCGATCGTGTGAGCAACGATGAGGTCTTGGAGAGGATGCAAACAAGGAGGAAGCATATACTTAATATCGTGAAGAGGCAAAGGAAATTTCTTGGACACGTAATGGGAAGGGAGAGCTTGGAAACACTGATACTCACAGGTCGAATAGAGTGAAAGCAACAAGAGATAGGCGGAGTAGAGTGCCATGATCACCTACATCCAGGATGCTAAGGATATCACAGACCGAGCATGTGAGCAACGATGAGAGTTTGGAGAGGATGCAAACAAGGAGGTAGCATATACTTAATATCAGGAAAAGGCAGAGGAAATTTCTGGGACACGTGATGAGAAAAGAGGGCCTGGAGAATCTGATACTTACAGGTCGAATAGAGGGAAAGAGAGACACGGGAAAGCAATGCATGATATACCTGGCGGGCTTAAGCAAGTGGATGACAGAACGTGGTCTGGGGGAGGTGGCAGAGAGACGAAACTTATTGAGAGCTGGAAAGGATAGGAAGAAGTGGAGAGCCATGATCGTCTAGGTTCTGAAGGGACACGGTACATAAAAAGAAAGAAAATCTTAGCTATCTCAGTAATGTAATAACAGATGATGAAAAATGTCACACAGAAATCATGAGGTAGAACATTTCTATGAGTCATGTCTCTTCAGAGTATGGACGATGTTCGCTCTTTACAGATTCCAGTCGTTTGTAGCTCTTAGTAACGTTTGTTATTTTGCTATCTGCAAATCTATTCTAATAGGCTCTTTAATCGTACTTCTCACCTGTGGAACACTGTTCTGATTTCTTCCTTCCATGCGAGCCACCATCTTTAAAACTTTAAGCCCCGTGTCAATTACTAAATTCTACCTTCCTGAAACCTTTTTTTATTGTCTGTTCTTCTCACTAAAATCTTCTCATTTTCCTTCTCTCTCGGCAATTCTGGCTTATGGTCACAATGCTTTGAAACACTAGTTCTT